AAACATTTGGCAAAACTGTATCTTCGTTGACGATTCGCGGATCAGTACTCATCCAAATAACTGACGTTTCCGTGTCTAGAGAAGACTTGGAGACTGAAAGGCAAAACTGTCACTGGAACCGTTCAGCAAGGCGGGAAATCGGTGCCTTTTGGGGTGGAATTATAATTGGAGCTAGAACGCCTTTGACCACGTATCGAGGACTCCATGTTGGCAGATAGGTAGAAAACACTCGTACTGGTCGATGATATTGCGTCCGTACATTGAGCTCAACGAGTCAATGCTGCTCTCCGAAAATATAACATCACAAGTTTAGACTGACCTGCCGGCTCGTCTGACTAAAACCCAATAGAGCACGCGTGGGATGCTCTTAAGCTGCTTTGGACTCGTCAGCCACCTTCCCAGACAGTGTCAGAGATCAGGGAAGCCGCTATACAAGAATGGGACAGGTTACCTCAAGAAACGCAGAATAACTTGATCCTCAGCACCCCCAGGAAAATCTCCGCATGTGTTCGAGCCAGGGAAAGAGTTATATTGTATTAAACAAAACTTTCTATTAATAAATTGCTATATGAGTTTGGTTAAACAATTTCTTTCTTTCCATTAAATTTCTGTTACAATTAATTACATTAGGATTGAATTACTCAATTTTTATTAAAAATTAAAAAAAGAGTTTTATTTTTTGATTTCAAATTGTGTATTTCTTTTTGAAAAAAAAAAAGATATAAGGTAATCAGTTTTTCTTGATAAAATTAAATTTTAAAAATATATTAGCTTTTGCTAGTAATCACAAACTTTTTGATGTGTGTACTGAGGTAAGTACTTCAAAATTTTTAAGGTAAATTTAAACAAGGTGGAGGTTTACAATTTTTCATTTCTTTTTATACCCACCCTTGTTCAGCAGTAGACTTGTGAAGGGCTGTAATGATGATGACGATGATATACAAGTAGACTTTATTATTCCTTTATTTAAGATAATAAAGCCGCCAATTACTTATATGTAACAAGTGACGGTACCCATCGGAATTTCAGGTAATAAAGTAGATTTAACATATCATTAACTGAAATGTTATAAGCTATAACTGCTTAATTATCTTACTTCCTTTGAAAGCAGAATGACGGGTTGCCATTATCCGCTTGGGGTCTTACCATTTTAAAAAACAAATTCAAAACCAAAGACGTTAAACTGCGAGACCTCAAAGAAGGCACTGGAACATGTTTTTTGTGTAGAACGACCAATAATTAACAAAAGCTGCAGGTGTGTGACTAGAGATGCTGTAAAGTACTTGCTTAAATTCCCTTAAGTTAAAATAAACCGCTATAAATTTCATAAGAATTTGTTACATTTTTTTAGTAAAATTATTCAGTGAGCACGCCAAATCCACTTGTAGAGGTATTGTTGAATCTTCATTGAAACAACACTGTTGACTCTACGGCGGCTGATCGCTAAGTCTTAGCCTCCCACCTCTACACGAGGCATCTTCAGATGAAGATGCCTCGTGTAGAGGCGAAACACGTGTCGTATTATCGCCGATGGTGTGTCTTTCCTGGAATAGTGGTGTTGGGAGTAGTGGTGTTGGGAGTAGTGTTTCTGGGATTGGTGGTGACGGGATTGGTGCACGGAATTGAGGGAGGGCGGGAGGTGCTCTTCAATCTAGGTAAGACACATCATTGTATTTAATTGAGCGGATGGTTGCAAGGTAGCTGTTAATATCTTTAATTTTTGTGACAAATGAACTCGCAGTTGGCCTATTGGGCTTTGCTTTACGGACACTGACATCTCTCCTCAATTAAGAATCAAAATGCGTTTCAACTAAGATGGAATGCCCAATCGCCAGCATAAAGATCTCCGGTTCTCTTCACTCACCCAATGATACGTAGCAATAGCAGCATACGCCGCACAAATGGATCAAGCAATTTTTTTTGAGTTGTTAATTTACGTTATTGCATATTTATTGCAAGGAAGGCAAATCGAAATGAAATTAAATGTAAATTTACTAAGATATATGGTGTGTGTGGTGTGGTCTGAAAGAAGATGTAGTGACAAAAATTGAGAAAGGTATGCTGAGATGGTTTGGCCACATCGAGAGAATGAATGAAGAACGATTGACGAAAAAAGTGTATAAGGCGAGTGTGAATGGAAGTGCTGGAAGGGGTAGACCTAGGCGTACTTTTCTAGACCAAATTAGCGACGTCTTGAAAAAAGGCCAGGTTAAGAGTACCCTAAACCGTAGAGCATGTATGAAGGGAATAATGAAAGTAGACGAAGCGAAACAAGTATGTAAGGATCGTAGCAAGTGGAAAGAAGGGGTCTCTGCCTACCCCTACGGGAAAGAGACGTGATTATATGTATGTATGTATGTATGTATGTATGTATATGCAATTGAAAAGTACCTCAACTTGATAATTGCGTCCAATCGTTACGTCAAATCTTTGAAGTTGGGCAATCATTCGAGACGTTATGGAAACTGCGTTCGCCGCATTATCAAAGACCGCATTGAAGCACAAGCACTTTACCCTAGTTAGACGACTGGGTCCAATTCGAAAATTGGTACGCCAATATTTCCTTGCATTAGATACAGTAAGCAGTTCTCGTCCATGTTAAATTCTGCTGAATACCAAATATCAGTATAAAATTGAGCATGTCCTTCTTGAATAAACTATTCTCTGGACAATTTATGCAGTATATTGAACCAGTTGAATAATTAAATATATTTTCTTACAAATGTATTTTTTATTTATTTGTTGTACATTAATTCAGGTATATATAAGTAGTTACCAATTTTAATTATATATGTGAAACTTGACGAGCCTGTGTCCTAGCTAATTTCAAATGGAGATATATGTTTGCGCCCTCCTTTCTGCCAAGGAGGGTCGCGTTCGTATACGGCTTAGAGATCTCTAGTCAGATCGTTAAGCCAATTCCTAAAAGGTTGGGTTTAGTGGGTAAAAGTCACCACATAACCACGCAGCCGGCTGCGTGGTATGCTATGAGCATTCCCAACCTCCCTCCCCCGCTTTCCGGAGGGTTGCCCATATTTGCTTCGGGCGCAAAAAAAAAGATATATGAGCTGACTTCCAAAACCTATATAAGAATAAAATAATTTCCGCATAACAGCTTCTGTTAAAATATATCGAAGAATTCAAACCCCGGCTTCAGAAGCTAGGTACCTATATATTATAATTTATTTCATTCTTTTTAGTTTGTGAAGTCAGTTTTTACTTACTATATCTTAAGTGATTTTTTAGGAAAAAAAAACACTCTTAATAAAAGGGAAATCAAACAATTGCGATCCTAACTTGATAACGCATCTGTAACCTTAGCATTTGTTTTAAACTAGTAGCAGGCGTCTATGAGGGGCAGAAGCCACTTAACTACTTTCAGTACCTATTATAATTTATAAGCCAATGCTTGACTTCAAACCTGGTGGTAAGTGGTGGTGAAGCCCTAGATAAATCACACTAAACAGGTGGTAGAGCCATGCTGCAGTTATATTATGGTTGAAGCACAAATATGTCGTCCGGGAAAGGAACACGCTCTCACAAAATACCAGCGTAAAATTGCATTGTAAGTTCAGAGATCCGGAGACGAGGCATTCCATCTTAGTCGTCAGGTGTGACAACGCATTTACATTTTGATCCTTAATTGAGGATAAATGTGGATGTGTATGGGCCACAGCATCCACTTACCATCAAAAAATCTTAGTCGCAAGAGCTGAGAACGCATCTGTAGTCGCTTACCATCAAGTGCTCTTAAGTACGTTTGTTATTTCAGTTTTATAAAAAAGAACTACTACTATTCTACTCCGCTAATTTATGCTGGTATTCTGTGAGAGCGTTGGTCCTGCCCCGGTCGAGCCGATCCATTTGTGCTACAACTATAATATAGCTGCAGCGTGGCTCTACCACGTAAAAAAGATGGAATATATCACAGAAATTATACCGGTTCTCTATACTCTTCAAACCGGATCAAAGCACTGCTATTTGACAGCAGATATAAACAAGAGGATACGATGGTATCTGCCCATACGGAGTTGTAGGCAGAAAAGGACTCCTACCATTTAGTAAAGTAGTTTTACGGATTGATGTGGAAGGTAATAGAGAGCACAGATCACCTTTATAGAAACGAGGAAAGAACAAAGAAAGTTATTAGTTTATTCCATAATACTGCAACGCAATATCTGAATCGAGGAGCATAGATGTAGGTGGGTAATTATTTCATTTGATGTAAATTGGGCAGATTGGGAAAAATAAAATACAAATATATTTTTAACCGCAAAATGAGTTTAAATTGAAAGTTTCTAATGTGTGAATTATTAAAAAAATGAAGGCCCTCTCCTAGGGCCTCAATTAGTAGAGATATGGGCCCCTGAAGTTTTAGGAGTCACGGTGATGACATTATGTGGGTACGGTAGTGACGATTGTTCACGGTAACGACACTTCGTGCACACGGTAATGACGTTTGAAGACGGCAATAATAAATGATACTTCGTACTGTTCTTTTCCCCTTGAAACATATACTAAAAATTTAAAATAAAACAGATTGTTAAAGAAATAAATGTTTATTAAAAACTTCTTTGGTAAAGATATAATCTCACAAAATAACTTTCTCAGTTCTGTAATAATTATAACTTAAACTAGATACATTTATTACCTTTTATCACATACGTACAAAAATAGGGAAAATAAAACTTAAACTTCTATTCAACTTTTATATGTTTACTGAGATCAACTATTCTTTTAGTGTAATTGGTCCTTGACTAGGTGCAAATAAAAACAAATGATATATTAATAATTTTTCATAGGTTAGTTATTGAGATCAATTAACTTTTCAGAGAAAAATAATATACTAAATTATAATTTATAATATAATAGCTTAATTAAAAATGACAACTAAAAATATATGTGAAATTATCAAAAACTAAGTAGACATTATTGTAACTATTTACTCGAAATGTAAAAAAATAATCAAAATTAGCAAACATTTAGGTTTTTTAATATTTTTACTCAGGTAGTAAATTTTCGACATCATCAAATATATGCTGACCTCTGCGATTTATATTGGGTTCTTTTAATACTTTAACAATAACATTTTTAGTGACACAGTCTTCATCATCTTTGTTTGGCCAAGAAAAAACATTTACGGTGTTTTTTATCCTTCTGAGAGATTTTACTGTAAAAGTGTTGTCATCATGATTAATATTTATCGCTTGGCCAATAAAATACTTTATGGCAGTATTCTTCTTTAACTGACATTGGTACGATGTAACAACCCACGAGCCTATTTGTATATTCTCATATGGATCCTTTAGCTTTGCCTTTTCTAATCCTGTTATATTGGAAGATGCTTCGTCAAATTCACTACCTAACGGGTCAACGCTTGACACATTCGTTGAATCGAAGATAGCTTCATTATCTGCTGTAGAAGCACCCGGCAAAGCGATTAATGTTTCGGCATAAGTTAGAGCAGCCTCAAATGGGGTTGACGTCTCAAACATCACAATTTCGGATGGTTCTAGCGTAATATCTAAATCTGAATTAATATCATTACCTGCCGACGTTTCTATAATCATGCTAACATCTTGAGACAAACAGAACGTTTCTTCTTCAAATTTCGCAGTTTTGATGTCTTGTAACTCTCTTGGTAACTCTGCGTTCGTACGAGCTAAAAATGCTTCCGATCTTTAAATTTTAGCAACTTCAAGTGACGAGCACAACGCCCGTTCTCCTTCATCTTCCTCATCACTTTTTTGATTTTGGAGCAAATGCTCTTCAAACTGGTTTTGGAAATTATTGCAAGATCTTTCTTCACGACTTGGCACGAGTACAACATTGGAAACAATCACAAGTTCTTTAGAAGAGTTTGGCTGATTCGACTCTTCTGTGGGATCTTCAGAATCTGATTCAGGTGTCGTATCTTTTTCTTGTAACATTTTAAGTTCATTTTTCTTTCTTCTTAAATTCTGTTGGTTTATCTTCCATTTTTTTATCTGTGTCTGTCCTCTCTGCCCTCTGTTCCCTTGGCTTTAATTCTTTAATTGGTACAATTTTTTTAGTATCCTTTCTTTTAATATAGCGAGCCTTTTCTTTTTCCAAGTATTCTTTGTATAGCTCAGGGTTAGACTTTATTTTGTTGCGCCTTTTTTGTTCCGCTAATCGTTTTTTTTTTCTTAATATTTCTTCTCTACTTACTGGCTTTTTACGTCGTGGCATGTCTATTTTTTTGTCTAGAACAAGCAAAATTGGCGTATATAATGCACAATGCTTATTTACATACCAATTACAATCGGTACTAGTCTAAAATAAAAACTGTTAATATTTACTTATGTATTATATGTAAGTCATTATCATGTCATCGTCGTTATTACCGTGGCTTAAAACAACCACGGTAATACATGTTAATGACAAACACGGTAATGACAAAATCAAATATTATTCGCATAACATTGCAGGGTTAATGTTCCGGAATATGTTCTGTTGCTTATGTCATAACAAAATGGTTAAATAATTAGGGAAAATAAAACCTATTCTAATATTCTGTGTACTTACCGAGGAAGTAGACCCACAATAAAGACAATTTTTTCTGACAAAAACCACGGTAACACCCTTTTTCTTCACTTTTTTTTAAATCAGTCAGGATGAGCGACGTGCGTTTTCGTTGACGGCTGCGTGTTGGCTGGGAGGTGCGCGGGGCAGTTGCAGAAATTTTATACAGCTGTTGAGTGATGTACTACACGTCGTGACATGAACTGACACGGGAATGACTGTTTTCGCTTGGGACAATATTTACGATGTTGTTATTCTATCACTTTCAATTTGATTTCATTTGTTAAATCTAAGATATTAGTAATGATTATTAAGCTTTATATTAAATGGTGACTTTGGCTTATAAACATACGTTTAAGATGACATTTTTGCTGAAATAATGACGAAAATGTTATATAGGACACACATGGTAGTGACGTTTTGACTCTTTAATGATAAAAAAATACAAGATTAATTATAAAATACCCAAAATGTATGAGTACTCCTTGTACTGTACATTCAGTACTATATATAATAGTATGGCACGGTATAAATCCAACTTAGTTTTAAGGGGGAAATTCACCCGGACATCCGATTTACACCAAATGAAATAATTACCCAGGTGTCACAGCATCCACTACCGTTCATTAAGTGGACTTCGTGCTCATCTGTCACCCTTAATTTTATAGAAAAATCATAACTATTGTTTTTTAATGCTTTTTTTTAATTTAGGGACTTATGCTATTTTAATATGTCAGACACATTGTACCTGATAACTAAATAACACAATACAATTTATTATATTACTTACACTAAATACTAAATTATATAACTATAAATATATTATTATGTACGTGGTAGAGCCATGCTGCAGCTATATTAGTAGTAAAGTTGTAGCACGAATGGGTCGGCTCGACCGGGGAGGAACACGCTCAAGAAAACAAAGGCCTAACGCTTTAAAAAACCACTTACCATCAGGTTTACTGTGTGCTCATTTGTCACCCTAATCCTATTTTAAAAAAAACTATCGTTGATTAACACCATAATAGCGAATACTTACACATTACATACTACGAAATCTCGCAGTGCACTCGAATGCACAGGGTACAAAAAACTTTATTATAATTAGCAGTTCATTCTAATGTTCATTATAATGAACGCATAGTTAAAGTAGCTAAAGTACAGTAGTTTAGCTCTAGCTACTTTGCGCCTCGCATAGTGCTACAAATCAACACAAATGTCAAATCTATCGTTTGTTTTGTTGATTGCCTGTTTGTTCCTTGTTTAATTTGTTTCTAATTTGTTGATATTTAAAAAATGTGATGGATTACAGTAGCGAAAAATATGTTGATATTCTTAAGAGGATAAATCTATAAAGATCGATCACAAGAAAAGTGATACGCGAATTTCAAAATATATTGTTACGGATACGTACTAAGACCCATAGATTTTCATTAAAACACGGGTTAAACGTGAGAATTCAATTACAAAATGAAAACCTTGGTTTAGACTATTTGACGTTTTTTTATTCGTCAGTCAACTCGTGAGAAGTCGCATCAGAACATTAACCAATCACAGAGCCTTATTCAACAGTATGCGTGCGCTCAACAAATAGCCCTTTGAAATCTTAATGTTCATGAAATTAATTGCTTGTCACAACCGACCGCTTGGAGAAACCTCTTACTTTTCATAGCTTTGCTCCTATACTTAAGTAAGTATTGCTTGTGAATATGAACACATTCAATAATATCGAATGTAATAATCTCATAATATATTACGGAACGAAAATTTTATGTTACCTCAAATTAGCGACATTGTTTCAAACAGACAGCAATCGAACTTAATCTATATGTTACCAAATAGCACTTCTTTCTATATTGCAGGTTGAAATTATTTTTTCATTGGGATAGTTACTTTGGCCAGTTAGAAAAACTTTTTGTGTTATCCTCGTAACATGTTTGACGGAACTGGTTTTCTGATAAAACGGTACCTAATGTATGGATAAATAGATTAAACATGAAAGCGAAAGGTGTGGTGAAATCAATAATAACACTCGTAATCGAATTCGAGTAATAGAATGCGCCCCTTGCTCTTAAGCGATAAGAAACGTGTGTCCCTTTCGGTTTCTGCGTAGGACGGTTGAATACAGGTCTAAATTGATGTATTCTGCAAACAGTGGAAGCTCCAAGTCCAAGACTATTTATGGACATATTGAATAGAAGCATCAGAACAAATGCTAGATTCTGAATGTTCAAGACCGGTGAAGGAGAGCAGAATTTAAGGTGTGTCTGGTACTATGATTACTTATTCGCTTTAAAATAATGCTTCCCGGGACATAGCGGCGTAAGAGAACGTACTACTCCATAACATCGCATGGATGTAATATAAGGCGACAGGGAGAGACCGAACCAGGATATAGGTAAGATCATATTTCTGATAACGAGTTAATAATAATCAGAAGAAGTGGTTATGCTATTGTCTGAAAATGGAGCAAAGTTTTTTTTAATTTAATTTAAAAGCAAAGGATCCAAACTGTTGTCCAAAAATAAAATAATCCGTAAAGGTAAACTCCCATAAATGCGAAATATTGCAAGTGAACAGCACAGCCTCGACAGTTGTACAGCCTTCAAGACTACTTACTATTTGAGTGCCGCGAGGTGGCGTTGCGAAAGTTGACAACATCGCACGTGAGCTGCTTGCAGAGGATTCTTATTCTTGTTACGCTGTCATTTTGCATTAAGTTTCCTTTCTTATTTCAACTTGGCGGATTTAATGGCCACCTCGGGAACAATAGATCCGAGGCCAGCTAGCGTCGTCGAATATTATTATATATGCTTTTTTAAACGGTAAAAGTAGAAACGTACTTATTCAACTTTTATCTTTTCTATTTACGCCCAATTAATTCCAGAAAGCCAGCCAGGGAAATGCGCAATACAATTTTTAAAAGGATATATTGTTAAAATTGCAACAATATTCGTTTCTACCCGACTGCGCAGTAGACAAAAATGGGTCGGGTAGTACGATCGTCAAACCATCCACTAAACACGATGATGAAGGAAAGCTTTCAAACAACGGGAGAGACCGTGTTAGAATTTGCAAGCTGATAATAAAACGAAATATAATATTAATAATTTGTTTAATACAAATTTACAGTTAGATTTTTCGATAAGTAAAAAAAAACGTTCTCTATATTCGTTAGAATTCGTTTTATAAAATGGTCTAACTAGTTTTAAGGTATATTTTTCCATTTAAAGGATGCGATCTTCGCTAATAATATCACTGTTTTCGCAGCACAAATATTTTAGTTCCGGACGGACCTCGGTGGAACTCGTACTAATATTTGAGTGATAAAGCTGTGCCGTAAATATCTATCAAAAATATAATTCATAACTAAAAGTATAATATAAAATTAACCTTTTTGTATCAGCCAGAATATGTATGTTTTAGTGGTGTAATATTTTTATCAAAAATTGTTGACATAGACACTAGAGTTACTTATTAAGTCTCTAAATGTAAATTCTATTTATTTTGTTTTCAGTATAAATATAATTTTGTAAGTGGTATAACTCAATGTTGTTACTTGAGAGTTTGCTCGAAGAACTGACAACCGATGAGGAAGAAAGGTTCTTGAGTCGACTGACAGCCTCACACCGGTAAGCAAAGTGCATTGCAGGCGGTTCCCTACTATTTGGAGAGAGGACCTTAAGACATGCAGCAAGTCGAATGATGATGGCTCAGAACGATGTCATGTGGCATTCCTTGGAAGAGACCTATGTTTGTCAGTGGACTTTTAAAAGGCTGTAATGATGTTGATGATGATGAAGTGTTAACAATATTCAAGATATCCTCATTCAGTCCCTAAAAATAAAGAACATTTCTGGGGGTTTTCCTTGTTAGATAGGCATTTATTTCGTCATTATAAAAATAGTCTGGTTTAATATGTAATAAATAATAATTTAAATAGCATCCCTACGTCATGAAAAGCTGAAAAAATTGAAAAATTTTCCTAAATCTGAGAAGAAAGTAAAGCGTCCTTGATTAATTTGAGAAAAAGGGAAAACTATACACCCGTGCGTAGTCCGTTTGCCCGCTGGGCATAGACCTATCGTTGCTGAGAGGGTATTTAACGTAACGGAAAGAGTCCACTGAGCTGACTTAAATCCTTAAATCCTCGAAATATGTATGTTCTTTTTATTTTTTTCTTAAATTTGCAAGACTGTTTCATGCTGTTTTTCTTCACATATTTTTATTCACAAAATTTAAGCGGAGTGTATTAGCCTGTTATCATACCGGCTCTCCATATCCTTCAGAGCTTCAGGTCGCAACTCAGCAGTGCACTCATTGCTGTTATGCTACCCATACGGACTCAGACAAGAAGTCTCACCACTAAGTAAATAACGTGATAAGTCTGACACAGCACATGATAATTCTACAACTAAAATAACTAATTCTATGGTTTTGGCGGGAAACTTGGTTTGCTCGTGTATTGCGTAACCTACCGCAGCTCTGAGCATGACACTAATTTTTATTTTTTATTTTTGAATTATATTTAAAGTTTATAAACATGTTAAAATTTAATTGAACCATGATACAAATAAAACTAAAGGCTTTATCAAATAGGATCTTTTAATTAAACTCGCACAAAGCGAACTGAGTGTTACCACGCGACAATAGCTTTCGCGATTGACACGTATGAAGGACATTAAAAAGAAAATTGAAGCCGTCGATTATTGTACGGCGTAGCTTTATGCAAGTATACAATGGATGACATTATACTTAAACAATGGTATGTTGATATTCTTTATTCAGGTACTAGACATCCGTTAATAAGGACGACGCCGACTATATGAAATTATCTACTCAACGCGTTATGTCCATACTCGTTAAACAAATAGGCGATTTGACGGTAAGGTTGCCTTCGGTGGTGCAACGTCGCATAGCATTTAAATGAGAATAAATTCTATAACTCTAACAAGAAACAGAAAAGGATTGCAACAAACCGCTCATCCTTGAAGTAACCTTGTGTTAAACGTTTGATACTTCTTTAAAATGGTCCGAGGATGAGTGGACGCTTTTTCATTTTATTATAATAAATATCCATCCATTCTAGAAACTTGAGTTGTAGACTTAACAAGGTCGGTGTTAACACTCCGTTACACGCGCGGGGCACAGGCGTGCCCCAGCTGCATATTTTTGTCTGTAAATCACAAAACTTAACAGCCAGGATTTTGATTTTTTAAGTAGCTGTTGCATATATCTTCGCGTGAGCGTCAGTGACGCGTCGACTGTGCCGGCGCTCGGACGTGCTCTGTGTAAGTGTTTATGCATCTTTGGGGCACGCCTGTGCCCCACGCGTGTAATTACGTAACTAGTGGTACGCGGCTTATTTGGTATTTATTATGTTTTTTTTTTATTATTTTCAAGATAATTATGTTAAAAATCTGTGTAAATTTGTTAAATTCATATTACTGTTTTTATTTTTCTTTATTGGTGGTATGATTTTCGTAATTAAATTGGACATTTTTCTTGTTTTAGGTATTTTATCTTGTAAAGTTTGTCTGATTATCTGCTAAGATGGATGCACAGTCACAACGTGTAGCTAGATGGTTGGAAGAGACGGACGAAGAGGAGGAGAATGATTTGGAGGACCTGCCGAGTAGCGAAGATGAAGAAGATTGTTGTTTAGAAGAAAGACACGATTCTGAGTCGGAGCAAGAAAGCGATGTAGGGGAACAGATAATCCCAGATACTCCATCTGCATTGCAGCCGTTATCAGAGTCAAGCTCAGACGAGGATGTTCCATTGGCCAATTTAAGGATTTACAAATCTAAGTCAGGTCTTGAATGGCAGGCCACACCATACAGAACTAGCGTTCGATCCCAAGCGTCGAACATTCGTAGTCGTATTTGTGGCCCCAAAAATGACGCTTCAGCTTGCAAAACTCCAATCTCTTGTTTTGAATTATATTTTAATGAGGAGACAATAGATATTATTACAAGATGTACAAATATATATATCGACAAAATAAAAACAAAATACCAAAGACAAAGAGATGCCAAGAATACAGACTATACTGAAATCAGGGCAATGATTGGGATGTTACTCATGATGGGTGTAGAAAAAAGTGGTCGAAGAATACTGAAAGATTTTTGGGACAATAGGTTTGGAACTGCAGTGAAGGCTATTTATCTCACAATGTCTCAAAATCGATTTGCCTTTTTGCTAAAGTGCATTCGATTTGATGACATCCATACAAGAGATTCCAGAAAGGAAATTGATAAACTCGCTCCTATCAGACAAATTTTTGACATTTTTGTATCGAACCTACAAAAGTATTATACACCGAGTGAGTATCTCACTCTAGATGAGCAACTTGTGGCATTTAGAGGACGTTGTGGTTTCCGGATGTTTATTCCCAACAAACCAGACAAGTATGGTCTTAAACTTTTTGCCTTAGTAGATGTTACGTTTCCTTATGCATACAACTTAGAAATTTATGCCGGTGCTCAACCTCCTGAACCTTTTCAGGTCTCCAACAAAGTGAAAGACATTGTTCACAGAATGTTAAAGCCTCTCGAAGGTATGGAAAGCAATGTGACCATGGACAACTGGTTTACCAGTATACCGTTGTTGATGGAACTAGAAATGAAGAAGATTACTGCTATTGGGACACTGAAATCTAACAAACCTGACATTCCACTCAATTTCAAATCATCCAAAGGTAGACCCATCAACGACTCCTTATTTGGTTTCCAAAAGAAATGCACTTTAGTGTCTTACGTACCAAAACCAAAAAAAGTAGTTTTAGTGGCATCAACCATGCACAATGATGGTACGATTGATCTTTCTACCGCTGAGAAAAGAAAACCTGAAATAATTACTGAGTACAACAGGACAAAATGTGGTGTTGACGTTTTAGATAAAATGTGCAAGCATTTCAGTGTAGCACGAAATAGTAGACGTTGGCCCCTCACCCTATTTTTTGACATGGTAAATATCGCTGGCATCAATGGCATGATAATTGACACAATGGTCAATCACAATTACCAGCGCAAATCTCGACGCGACTACTTACGTTCGGTGGCTATAGAACTTATAAAGGCTCAAATGCGACAGAGACTTATGACTAAAAATTTACCTCGGACTATCAAGGAGAAGATCATGATGTTTTTAGAAGTAAAAGAGAGTAATTTAGTGCCTGAAGATGAAGTTATACCAAAAAAGAGAACCAAAACAGCCAGATGTTACGACTGCGGAAGAGCCAAAGATAGATCGTCCAGAACATTTTGCCAGAAGTGTCAGAAGCCTGTGTGCAATGACCATAAATATCCTGTATGCCTTGGTTGTTATAATAAATATGTAACCGAGCCCAAAGAATAGTCGGATTATGTCAAAAATCTTAATTATAAGTATAAGTGCCATTTTTCTTTAGTTTTATCAGTATGAAGCCAAATACTTTTTATTTTTTGTTTTAGTACAGAAGTGTCTATTTTTTTGTTGTTTTTTGATAAGTCAATAAAGGCTGATTATATATAAAAATTATAATATTTTATTTCTATTCCTATGTTACTAAAAAAAATCACAATATTTTGGGCCACAATTGTGCCCCGCGCGTGGAATCGTGTCACTATTTTAAGCGCGTGTACTGGAGTGTTAATGAAATAATGTTGAAGATTTTTGATAGTTGTTCGTGACGTTATTTAATATTTATTTAATTACTAAGGTAGTTAAAATTATGTCAATAAGGTTTTTTTTATACTAGACTTACTTTATCCTAGAATCTCAATCTCAATGTATACGAAATTATCGTAATATATAATTTTATATGTGTCAGAGCCATGCTGCATATATCTTATTGCTGTAGCATGAATTAGACAGCTCGACCGGGGATGAACCATGCTCGAATACCAGCGTGAAATAGCAGCTTAATACTGCTGTGTTTCAGACCTTTTATACCGGAAATGAGTTCATCTCGGTCTTTAGGGGAGACAACGCATCTGCATTTTGATTCTTAATCGAGGATAGATGAAGATGTCTATGGGCCTCAGCATCCACTAATCATCAGGTGGACTATATGCTCGTTTGTCACACTTATTCCTTAAAAAATAAATATATATTTTTAGCCATTTAAAAAGATGTGTCACTATTGTTTGATAGAAATTTTGTAGTTTGTTTCGGTTAAGCTTAGTTTTAAATTATATGTTTTTGTGTTAAGTTTCATGTCGAAAAGATAGTTTTTGAATCAAATCAGTATTATTTAGTTACATTTATTTTATACGATCTCCTGTTTTGCCTCCATATATTTATATAAAAGTCCCAAAAACATGGTATTTAATATAAAATTTTTAATTTGTAAGAAAACATGTGTTCACACATATGCAAGATTTGAAGCATATATTATTTTGTAGTTTGTACTTTCTTAAAGTAAAAAAGATGCTAAAAAGGCTGAATATTTAAGAATACATAATCAATGAAATCGTTTAAAAATATGTCGAGCATTCTTAATGAAAAATATAATGAAACAACGAAAAATCATGTAAGGATATACGTGTAACGTCGTGCAGGAAATGAAGCGTCCAACAAAACACGTCCTTGGTGTCTAACGAGCATCGGGCCCAGATACATAGGTCCATCCATTCTGTAACTCGATTAATCTTCGTCAGACCAACTTGATTGGACCAATGCCTACGGGTTTTGCGCTGCGGAATCTTATTAAATGTATACCACCGTGTTATTGTTTGCCGCGCATTGTTACAATTTATTAATAGTGGAAGCTGTCAGAGTTGCCAGATTCAGGGCAGGTAAAGTGATTTGGGCTAAAGTTTACAAATACTCCACCAACTTCTGGACTGTAAGCACATTAACGTTTCAGACAAATACTGAGCTATAAATTGCTGTTATTAAGTTTTATGAAGAACGCTAACCACTTTACGGCTTAGTTACTTTGACTAGTGTTCAAAATATAATCTATGTACCGGACGCGCAAGGAAATAATTTCTTTTGTTTAAAATTTTTACATTTACGTTTTTAATACCGTTAATAATATTGATATTTAAATTACTGTTCCACTTTAGTCTCTTGCGACTATGCAATTAACTTATTGTGCGTAAAGATATTTTGCTTCGGTAAATAAACTAATATAATTAGTCCATTAGCATTCATTGCTGTAGACATCGACGATATACGTAAATGTTATTAGTAATTCATGTGTTCAACGTTTGTTTTTCCTTATGACTGTCGTAGCTTAAAATCTTTACTGCAATGCGTTACAATACCGAACTATTTTGATGAAGGAAATATACCATTGATCCATTTACCATTATACTCAAATATATTAGCTGGTTGACGACCGTTTGATTTGTAAGACTATATTCAGAGCGAGGTTGAATGTCCTAGACACGCTCAAGGCCTATACCAATGAGACCAGCTGAGTATTGGTGACCGTCCGTTGGTTCAAGGGCGACGGGTGAATGCCACTCGCTGATCGCGTTTTTACCACCGTCATTTGCTTACGTTATTTGTGTTATCGAAGCCGGATGAACCGCCAGTAATAATTAATAACTAATCGACAAAGTCGTTTCGTATCTAGTCTCCGTGTAGGTACGTATGACAACTTGCATGTCAAAATGTGTTATATTGTTTTGAATTTAGATTTATAGCAGCTATTATACGGGGAATAGGTTTCAGAAATATCTTGTTTATCCCCCGTTTATCACGGAGCATAAAGAACGTTTTGAGCTATCTAAATAGTATTTCTCAAAAATATTTTTCTGCCTTCTAAACAAATGGCTCATGAATTGTGTAGAATGTGAACGCGCTTGTTTTCCACTCAAAACAAATATTTATTTATTACACAACATATCTGTTTCTGTATAATGTATTTACTTATTGAAACATAATATATTCATTCAAGATAAAGGATATTCATAAGAAGAAATACAACAAATTGGTTTGAAGAACAAAATAGTTCAACTGTTTCACTTTCAGCCCTCAGTCAGGTTATAATTTATTTAGTTGATAATTTACGTGAAATGATTTGATAATAGTTGAAAAATCAGCGCTCAATGAAATAAATATTTCATAATATTTTAACTATACCGTTTGTCTTCTTGAGACTGGACGCCATTTTGTTAAGGCGCACAAGTAGGTATAAGCGTATTTTTACAGCAACCAGTTACAATGTTACGAGTAAAAGTACAAAAATTTCTTGCGGACTTTCGAACTGAGGACATTTCGTAGCAGGGCCATCACGGGGAACAAAATAAAGAAATTCCGGGTAAAAGATAACAAGTAACACCTGCGGGGATGCGAAGTAACTAGCTATAACTAGGTAAAAGCGTAAAACCTTTGTTCTTTTGCGTCCGAGAACCGAGTCGACGAAAAATCTTTTTACTTTTTGCCGAGTAGCTCCCGGCCTCAAGCAGGTAGACTGCTGAATACAATAACGTCGCATAACACAGGTATGCTGTCGACTCGAAGTTGGCCCAATATATACATACGTATTGGTATGTCCGTGCAAAAATGTGGGTGACTACGTAGCGCTGATATTAAGATTGCTTTTGAGCTGTATTCCCCGTGCGTAGGACATTCTGAGGTTTATTATCATATTCGGGATCTATTTTTTCCATTCTAATCTTATCTTCTTATATATTGTTTATTCGACGATTCGATTTATAAGCAATCTGATTTGTTTGTTAAGATAATTACATCGTCATAATTACCATTATAGCATATCAAGTCCCTTGTTGATCGTAGGTTTTCCTATAGATTCCCCATCTATATATTATATTCTATAGACGTCACCTTGGCCGGCGGGAATTTTATTTTTAGAAGTTATAAGGAAGACGCTGCGACTCATCCATTGGTTTGTTTCCCCCTGTTGCCACTTACAGCACCCACGTGACACGGGGAGTGGATATAAAAATGTTCATCAGTGCTGATTGTGATGAACATATGTGAAAAGACATATTATGTGTAAGAACTAAGAAACGTATGCGCTGTGTAGGTAGCGGCACCGTAAGTATATCCACTACCCCATATCACTCAGTGGGTGTCTTGAAAGAAGGAAAGGCAATTGTTTTCTTAGAAGGAAGGATAGGGAAACTGACACAGGAGACGGGCTGCAGAATCTTTGTGCTGTGTTCAACGAACTATATTACTAGCGTGGTAGTAATACCTCAATGTCTGTGTTGTGTGAAAAATGAATGATGAAGACTAAACATATATTACGTAATATATTTCTCTGTATCTGTTTACGAAAAATATAATTACATTACAATATAAAAAATATTGTTCGGGTATATAAGTTATATATTAATTACGCGACAATTACGAGCGCAACCGCAAGCATGCATTTTATTTAAATGTAATAGGACGTTATAAATAATGAAAATATGCAAATGACGTGTTGGTAGCTCGTGGATTGGATAATACGAATGTAATACAAAATACATTGTTCATTGCAATATTTTTTATGGAGTTAACGGTAATAAACAAGCACACAGTCCACCTAATGGTAAGTGCAATGCAAGCAATGGGCCATAAACACATTATCCTCAATTAAAGAACCAAAATGCAGATGCTTGGTCACCCCTGAGGACTAAGATTGAATGCCTCGTTACAAGTAAAAAGGATGCTTTCCCGGTCGGGCCGACCCATTCGTGATGCAAATATAATATACGAGAGCTGCAGCGCGGCTCTAACGCAGACAAGGCGGTTTACACTTTACTTATACTTTCACAGTGAAAAGTATACAGAACCGTTGTGTGCTTTAAATGGAACAAAAACTACTAATGGAGATAGTTTTAGGTATCTAATAATAAGTAATCTATAGTCGCTGTTTTTCGTCAACATATACTGTTGTCGTAGCCTCTATCTTTATGACAAATGAGATCAAAATTCACTTGTTGGTAACTGGACGCTATACTATGTAATAAGATCGAACGTAGGTTTAGTATAAAGCATTTCACACACAGCCTCAGTACGTCCCAGTACTACGCACAACACTGGGGCTTCTTCCCATTTCTCAAGAGAGTAATGGAACAATTAGTAAGCTCAAGTCAGCTACTTCTCAAATGCCGGTTGTCGGACTTTACGAGTCCCCGACATATTATATTATTTCTCAGACATGCAATTTTCCTCACATTGTCTTACATCGCCGAGCACGTGGTAGTCAGCTTTTAAAATTATAATTAACAATTTCATCGGTAACGGCGAGGCTCGATCTCGAGTTGCTCGCGAATTATGAAATTTAAGGCACGCTCTTAACTCCTGAGCAAAAACTGACCCGATAATCAATAATTTGTGTATCTGTATAATGTTGCTTCGGGTTGTAATTAAAATGGTGGACCCACAACGAACCCTCTCAGAAATGAGGGGGA